GTGGATGGACGCAATAGAATCACATACACCTACCAGTAAGCAAGGCCTCGTGCACCTGAGCATATTTGCGGGAGCATCGAATTTGGTGTTCTCGCAGCAGTTCACGTTTCATCAACAAATTCTGCGTCGGATCCATCTGGTTGACACCCGACGCTTGAGTTAGATTGTCCATTTCGACGCGGCGAGGCGAGGCGAGGCGAACTGTAGCGTCGACGAACTGCTCGAGGAACGATTAATTCCAAAGCCTGTTCAACATGTTTACTATCCTTCGGAATAGCGGCGATGAACAAGTCCACAAACAGTGGACTGGCGCAATGTTATTTGGGCTTGCAAAGCACGAGGTGCCCTGTTCAAATGATGACTGTAAGCAGGATTTTGATTAGTCGACCGCGACCGGCCAATCAAGACGGAGCAATTGTTGATTTCGGAGAGAATGCTGAATTGGAATTGGAAGACTAATTGCTATCGCATTGGTTTTCGTTACCCATTTGTGCAGTAAGCGCATGAGTCTCTATCCAGTCGACACTCCGACGCGGTAAGAGGAGGATAGAATGCTCGACTGAGCTGGGAAAGCGAGGCCATACCGAAATGTATGTGCAAAGTGAAAGAAGTCTGCCACCCTACCGAAAGCACAACAGTTTAGCAGTCATGCCTTTTGCTGATATTCACCTGACGACAGTGTTCATTTGTTTTGGAATATTCGCCATGTTGACGATGGCTGAGTCAACGCTGTACCATATCTAAAGCAATCTGTGAACTTGCCTCGATTTCAGCTCGAACATCTCCAGCCTCAGCCGTGTAGGCTCGAAATGAAGCTCGGCCATTTCACACTTGTTTGTATGAAAAGCGACTCGTCGGCGACACCCAGCCAGATAGACCGTGAGCTAGTCCATCTGTGCTCTGGTGAAGGCCATTTTCACTTCGGCTAAAAGTGTGTGTATGATTAAGAGAGTCGATGCTCGATTTCACCAGAGGACGACGGCACTTTCCTCTTGACCCGCAGTCGGCCAGCTGTCCCTCAAACAATCTAATTCCAATTCAATGGAAAATACCAAGCTTTATATATAAATATAAATAAATATATATTTATTTAAATAACAAGTCACTGATGATAAAGATAATGGAAAATACTGAGTTAATGTGACTCAAGGCAGTCGACTATAATTCCGGTGAAAGCGTACTCAGCATTTTCCTGTCCTATGAAGGACATTATCAGG